GGGGACCTTCAGCCAGCTTGCCTGCCACGTGCACTTCCCTCTTGCCGCTCCCCGAGGGCAGAAATGGCCTCTCTGTGGTTCGATTTTTCCTTTTTTAAGCAGGTTGCTAATGGTCTCGGCCAAAACCAGGCAGAATATCCGAGGCAAAAAGCACAGATCTCTGGAAGCGCGCAGGGAGCGGCGGCGGCAGAGCGCGCGAGGCTGTTCCGCAGGTCTGACTGCCAGCGGTGCCAGCTGTCGTGGAGCGAGGCCAGCGCGGGACAGCCGGCCGGGAGCCGGCCCGAGACCGTCGAACCTCCGGCCCCTTTCCTGACTCGCTCCCCTTCTGGGGCTGTGAACGGGGGCGAGTGCTATTTCTCATGATATTTTTCAGCATTACCCAGCGCCCAGCTGTGACTGCAGCATCCCGGTCTTCCCGCGAGGCGACAGACTAAAGGCAGTGCCATTATTGCACTGCTCTCAGCTTTCACTCTGCCTTTTTATTATCGGATTCTTGTCACAAGAGGCACGCCAAGAACACGAGCGGCAATCCGCTGGTTAAAAACAAAGATCAGGCCCAAAGTTTGTGTATCTTCTACTTCAAGACCACACTCCCTGAATCAGAGAGCGGCTTTCGCCCCCAACCCCAGCCCTGTAATCTGAAATCCGTTCTGCGCTCCACCCACACCATTACTTCCAGCCTTTAATCTCCAGAAAACGCGTTCCCACTGCCCTCACCGGGAGCTGCAGCTGTGTGGAAGGGCAGACTTTCCTCTACGGCATATGAAGAAGAAATAAAGATTTACTCACAGGCAGGGGACAGAGCTTTCCATTGACCTTGACAAATAAATTAGGAGGGAAGTAATCTTCCTGGGGACAGCTGGTTTCACACAAGCAAAACCTAAGAAGCGGGAGAGAGAAACCGGCAAGTGAGTGGCGACACTGGCGAAAAACGGCAGCCAAACTTCCCTTTAACGCGGGAAAAACGTTTTCCAAGCAGAACAGAGCAGTGGCTGGGAAACAC